AATATTTGAGAAACTTAGTGCATTGCTTATTGATTTTTATTCATATACAATAATATAAACAAACATTTGTTAAGGATAATCTATTATTTAATAAATATTTTTAAATAAACTTGTGTCTTATTATTACTTTAATTAAATTACATCAGTTGAACAAATTCTATCTTTTTATTATTTCCTATCCATTCTTTTCAGTCCTAAATTCAAATTCATTTCTGATAAACAGATGAAATGCCTGATGTTTCCATTTTAACTTTTTAACTCCTACTGATCTAGCTAACTGTGCATTTCTACCTGGGCACTGTGCAGCGCGCATAACCTTTCAAATCTTACAAACTATATAAACATAAAACATGAGGAAATAAATCACAACAATAATTTAATACAGGCGTTGACCAAAGCTTAAAAATATTAGAATTTTTTTCAAATAAAATTTTTTTTTCCATGGGCAACGTGTTCCCCATTTTACCTTCAATACTATCTAGAGGACTGAAGTATCTAAATTTACTAACAATAGTAGAAGTGTAAAAAAATGTAGTGTATGAAAAAAATTACATAAAAAAAAACAATAATACAAGCTGAAATATGAAGGAATTTGTTTAAATATCTCAGCAAGGAATTTTTATGAAATATTTTTTAACTTAATAAATGATAAAAAAACTTAAAGATGAAGGAGTTGTTTTACCCTATTTTGGCTGGGGAGGGGGGGAGGGATCAATGGGATTCAATTGGAGTTTTTTTGAGAAACTCAAAAAAGAATTTGTCTGAGGCAGTTCAATTAGAGGGAGGGGTTAATAGAAATAGTTTTTATAACTCAATGAATTACATGATAAATATTAAAAAATCCAAACTGAAGAGGGTATTTAAATACCTAAGCAAGGAGTTTTTTATATACAGTGATAACCAGAAAACCCTGGAATAGTAAGTCGACCTTTAAACTCAAGTTAATACAGTAAATTGTCCAATCAGCATGAGACACAGTTATTAAGCATTATCGCTAAAATGTTGTCTTCTATAGTCTACAGTTTGTTTAGAAAAGCAAATACGTGTATGTATTATTTCTATCAAACTTTAAAATTTTATAAAGATTGAATCACAGAATCATGGAAAATTTGCAAACTTGTAATGAGAAAATTCGCAATTTTCAGTTCTGGTCTTATTTTTAAGGAAAAATTGGTTTTCGGTGGCTTTTTAGGATTTAACTGAACAGCATTTATTTAAAACTTTAGAATATACTAAAAAGAAAGGATTGAAGAGCCATGAAGAATGAGACTTCGATTAAAAAAGTTTTCAATTTTTTTAATTTTAAATGGACTGTACACATACTTTCAATTGGCCCAGGATTGATGGAGTGGCATGATCAATTCCCACCTGTACCCTTGAAAGCTTTGTCTGCTCAAGTATAATTTTTTTTAAGAACCTTTACTACCCTTTACTAAAATATTTGGCATACCCACTGTCATTTAAAGATTGCAATCACTTCTTAAAACCAAATATAAAAAAGTGCTTTTTAGTGCTAAAATGTACAAGTAAAGTTAGAGCGGAAAAATCAAAGCCCGAGGCGTTGAAACACATCAAAGTAAACCCTGTCTGTTTAATACATGAGACATAACTAAACATGGTTTGGTCGAGAGACTTTTCAGGCAGGTCTAAAACTGGTATAATTTAGTCAAAAATCAAGAGATAATCCCAACATTTACTTTAATCAACTTCAGACTCCACAGATCAAAACATTTAATATGATCAAGTTCAGATCAAACTGTATTTACTATGATCAAGTCCAGATCATACTGTTTACTCTGATCAAGTTCAGATCAAGCTATGCAGTTTGAACTTAGACTGAGTTAAAGTCTCAAAGTGATTAAATACTAAAGTGGGCCAAACTCATAGTCAGTCTATGTCCTAAGTATTTAAAAATAATATATAAATATATATATATATATATTGATCTTTACAGAGTGCACAGTACAACAGAAACTGGACTTCCTTTGTTTACAAATTAAGATTTTAGAAGTGAATTTAAGCCATTTTACTGGGTGACATGGAAACGCCTCAACACGGAAACGACTCAACACGGAAATGCCTCAAAAAAACAGAATCATAAAACTAATTTAATGTCGTCTTCTAACATTAAAAAAAATTTAACAATTATTTTACCATTAATTTAGGGTAAGTTAGGTTGCGCCGCAGGCTACAAAGGGGGCCGAGCGCTGCGGCTAGGATGGCTATTAGGGGGCCGAGCGCTGAGACTAGGACAGGCTAGGGGGCCGTGCGCTACGGCTAGAACAGGCTAGGAGACCGAGCGCTGCGGCCATGGCTGTGAAAATCAGTAGAATATAGTCTTTTTAATTTTAAGTTGAGAGAAGACGACATTAAATTAGTTTTATGATTCTGTTTTTTTGAGGCATTTCCGTGTTGAGTCGTTTCCGTGTTGATGCGTTTCCATGTCACCATTTTACTGCACAATAAATAATTTCAGACAGCACAATAATGCCTGCATGCATAATCTGTAAAACAAGGAATCCACAGTTTGTGATACCGAAAAATCAAGATCTTTGAAATATATCTCTTGATCTTCACTTTAGTTATTTGTGGTGAGAACTAGACACAGTTTTAAAGATATTAAGAGAGGCGTATTAAGATCTATTTCCCAGGAAGGGCTCACATTTCTTTTTCCGTTTAAAAACAAAACAAAAAAAGAAGAAAAAAGAAAACAAAATAACATATATACATATTACTGATCCAGGAGGATGATGAGCCCTTATAACCTCCCCCCCCCCCGGATACGCCTCTGGATATTAACATAGATGTGTCATAGAAATTTAAAAAGACATATTTTGAAATGGAGTAAGATTTGACAGAACAAAACTAAGCAGTTTTAAAGATAAATTCCTATAGTATTAGAAGTGCCAGGCAAAATCAATAAATTGATGAAGCGTCTACATAGTATTTGCAAACTCTTTGATTCTAGACTCTATAAAGACAGAACTATATAAAAAACTTACTTTTATCTGTCAGCATATATTTCACAAGATTAGAGAATAGAGTGGCAATATACAAAGTTTAAAGTTTTTATACTAGAATAATCACAAGAGGTTGCACTTCCGCACACCTATATAAAAAATAAAATACCATAGATATCCTTGACATACATGGTTGGTTTAGAATTGTACCAAAAATGCTGGTTTAGGATAGCTAAAATGGGCAGGGCCTGGTTAAAATGCGCAGGGCTGTTGGTTGGGTTTCCAATCGGAATTCGGTGCAATTGCGCTATAGTTACGAAAAAGAAAGCAATTATATATTTGCAGAATTGCGTGGAATTGCGCGGAATTGCGTACATAGTAATTGCTTTTCTCTAAAAATCAATAATTTTAACTGTTCGACATACAAATTTATGCAGCAGATACAAGAATGGAATTAAATATCTCTGTTGATTTTAAAACAATTAAGGCCCAAGTGTCATTTGTTTCAACAGTTTTCAAATTTTAAAGTTTCTGGTTGTTAAGCTACTAATTAACAAATTAATACGAAACATTTTTCATTTGTTCACATTGAATAAACATTAAAATGGAAACTTTTCTTGATTAAAATTGTAAGCTTCGTTTAATAAAACTTAGATAGTTTGATACAGTGAGGACCAGAAAACTATGGTACAGAAAGACAACATCACAGTGTATTTATACAAGTCAAACAAAATTACTTAGTAACTTATTAAATCACTTATCCAGTTACATGGGTCTGCTTGAGTCTAAACTGTCGTCTTCCTATGCCAGAGTTTTCTGGTTATCCTGCTGCATGAATATTATAAAATAAAAGATTAAGTTTAAATTCAATTTTCTTAGCGTTTGAGATTGGAAAGTTAGTGAAGTTCAGTTTATTGTATGTTGTTGAAAGGGATTGCGCAATAGTTAATCGCATTTATTGCGTGCCATAAGGTTTAAATTGAATTTTATCAAAATAAATTGAAACACAACGAAATAAAGTTGGACGAAATTGCGCGACCTAGCAAGCAATTGTGCGCAAATCCGTTGCTTTTATTTGCGCTCAATTAAATTTACTTGCGCACAAGGGCTTGCAATTGCGCGCAAGTAAAATCCACTTGCGTTGGAAACCCTAGCTGTAGGTAGAAACTTGGTTACAAAGATATAGACGTCTGGGTTTTGTAAAGGTTAAGTATGTTGAAATGCATTGTAGAAACAAATTGTATTTTTCATTGATTTAAACACACTTCAAATATTCTCATTTGGGAAACTTATATCCATCTTTTAAGGCATTGATTGATACACACACTTGATATTTAGTCATATTTTTGATTTGGTACACAGACCAATCTCAATATCCTTTCCGTCAGAAAAATCAAGACAAACACTCCAATATTCTCATTCGGGAAAATTATGTCCATCCTTTCAGGCATTAATTGATACACACACAAGATATTTTGCTGATATTAAAATCCTTTAAGCAAAAAATATTTAATATACCTAATAAAGGTACAGAAAAAAGGTCATGAAAATATTTTTTCATATATTTTAATTTGCTTTTTGGTTAAAATACAAGTTAGTTTTCTTGAAAATGTGCTTTTTACATCTGTTTGGAATAATTTTACATGTAATCTAAAGAGTTATTTTCCATAAAGAAACTTTCTATTCTAACACCGTACCACTCACACTTTCCCCTAGAAAAAGGCCTCAGAGAATAGGTAAAGGGTTGAAATGCATGTTTATAGCACAATTTGGGTCAGCTCATTGGAAAAATAAATTAAACCTATGACTTTATTTATTTGGGTTGAATAGGCAGGTTGAAAAATAAGCCAATAAAAGTTTCAGAAAAATGGAAGAAAAAATATTTTTCCACATTTTTCCATTTTTCAATTGGTTTTCAAAATATAGTTTTTACATCTGTAGCTTAGTCTAAAAAGTTTTTCACAGACCTGACTCTTTTCGTCCATTGCCGAACTCTATGCATTAAAAAAAACATTTACAAAAAATATTTTAGATTTTTATTCACAAAATTTCACAGTGATAGCTTCAAAAATAGGAGTGCTACGACAAAAAAAAACTCCTCTCCAACTTTCCTAGCCCATTAAGGGTTAAATTATATTACACTGAATATCTACATTACTTATGATTTTTCTCAAATATATAAACAGGTTGGTATGAAACATCCTGGTTAGGAGCAGGGGTAAAATTTCCTAAACAAAATTAAGAAAGTTTAGTGAAAAAATCAAACTCTTAAAATTTATCATTAATTTATAAAAACTGTTTGACTACATTTTTACTTAAAACTGTAAGGAACCCTTTAAAAGTAGAGTTGTGTGCCTGTAATCCCCAATTCTACTATTTAAAGCTTAGTCTGGTCATCCATGAATTAATGGGCAAAAAAATTTGCCATATTGCTGATTTCTTTTTGTTTAAGGGATTTGCCCAATTGTCAGATGAGAAAAGAATGGTTATTTATCAGGCAAAGGTTCATAAGGTATGATTGTGAAACATTGATGAACCACTCTAGTCTAATTAAAAATTTCTAGAAATTAGAAAATTGTCCCTTTTCCCAGTAATATTTCTTTAATAAAGGGATTATAGAGTTTAAGCGTAATGTATAAATCAATTTGTTTAAATATTATTTATAAAAATTTAAAACCACAAATAAATATCTTAATGTTTTAAAAAGAATAAGTTACCTGCAGATGTCCAAAAGAATTTCCAATTTGTCACCAAATACGGATATAAGATTGGTCCATAAACTCTAAAAATATATGGATAAAAGATGAGGTTTATACTAAGGACAATATGGTTAATAGATTGTTCCATAAACCCTATAAATATATTGTTTCATATCAGTCCATAAACCCTAGAAGAATAAGAGTATAAAATCAGTCCATAAGATAGTTCAAAAGATTCTGAAAATCTTGAATTTTAATATTGAATTCACAGGCAAGGAAACAGGACAATTTGAATGTCATAAATTGGCCACTTGTGGTTAACTTGAAATTATGCCTGCAGTCCCCTTAGGCAAGATATACAGTGCAAGGTTGCTGTTTGGTGAAAAGGATGATGGGAGGGGTAAGGCTTTAAATATTTAAATCTAAATTTTGTTCATGTGAATTTCTTGTCCATAAGGCTTTTGTCTAGCATAACCTATTACAGTCCAATAAAAACAATTTCAACATGACATATGACTATTTTCTCAGAATAAATCTGGATACAATTTCTGCATTTGCTGTTGTAATTGTAAAAACTAAAGCCATTGTTCGGGAGGGGCGCTGTTCCTGGTAATAGTCATTCTTTTACCAGAATAAACGGAACTATAGTTTGGAACCATTAGTAAACAAAGGGAACAGAATGGAAATTGCTTGAAAAGAAAGTTAAGATCAGGAACACATTCTAGGCGTTTTAAATTATGATTGTGTTCTAAATCATGTAGCAAAAATTTAAATAAACCCACTGCCCCCCCTTACCCAGCCTCTCTCTCCCTTCAGGGATGGGAGAGAGAGGTTGAAAGAAATTGTTTTCTACAATTTATTCATATATAATTTTGATATAATTGAAATATTGATAATAAAAATAATTATTTTTTTTTAAATCTAAAAATTGTACACCCCTTTTTAAGTATGAAAACGTTCTTGACTAAGAACAGAATGGAGATGGAGAAGGAACATGAATGGAAGGATCAGAAAAAAGGAACAAGAACAGAAATATACAGCTGAAGGCCCTTGTTCTAGATAGGAACGGAATAATTTCTAAAAAGTCAGAAGGTGCCCAGTATAGTTAATGTTCCTTTTTTGCCAAAGATGGATATTAAGTGATTAAACTTCCATTTTAAAAGTAAATAATGACTACAGTAGCCAATTTAAGCTAAATGGTTAACAAAAGAGTTGGTGTCCTACCTGGCAGCATTGAATTCTAATCTGTCTACTCCGGCAACAGGCACACCAATCACTAGCTAAATATAACAACTTTTAAATCTGTCTGAGGTTGAGCAACCGCCCTCTCCACCTTGACCTATGTTTTTTACATTTTGATTTAGAAGGGTAATATAAAGATTGCCATCATATTTATAGCAGATCTCATTTAGACCAATCAAGATTTTTTTTTGGGGGGTGGGGTAGCATTTTTAACACCACCATTGTTTTTTTATAAATGACTTAAAAACGGCTTACATTATAAATTTCTTTATAGGGTTACCCTCAAAGAATGAGACTTAAAAGACAATTGTGCAGAATTTATGTTGGCTGTTGACTTTCTTTGCCAAATCATCAAATAGGCCATTAATCAACAATATCTATCAACAATATCCTTTGTAGGTACAAAAATTTTACTAAAGACCCTTAAAAAAGGTCTAATATTAAGAAGAATAGCTAAAAGAAAATATGAACTTACAGAAAAAAGTGGGTTGTTTGATTAAAAAAAATATGGGTACTGTTGTGAATCAGACATGTCACTCTGTAAATGGTGGGTCCCATATAATTACATGTGAAGTCCCTGATGAGGTGAACTCTGTACTTGACCTTGGCATCTGGGCTGGATACACAGCTGGCTCTTGCTATGGTTAAAATATCTCCCCATGGGTTTATTGCATCTCCATATCGTCCTCAAATAAATCAAAGGTTTAAAAATAGTCATTTTTTCTAAGAACAAATAACCCCCCTGGTTCAAAATCTTTGAAAATCCTTTAGAGACTCAAAATTTTGCTTGATTTTTTAATATACATTATACATTCAGATGAAGCCAATGAATTTGAGGAAAGAGGACTGTTATAGTTCAACTAGAATAATAATTGATTGGCTTTAGACTTTTTAGCTTATCAATTCTGTAGCTTGAATTCAGGTCAATTTGAGTGATTTTCTTAATTCATATTTTTACCATGTTCAGAACATTTACCAATAACCAGCATTCTAATTGAAAGTAAAATCTGGTGACTAACCTAGTCCTGAATGCTCCAATGAGGAGTAGGAAATTATCACGTCAAAAAGTGGAAGTTCCTGCTTTTTAAACCTTTCCCTAAAAAAAATCATGACAGTAAGAAATTGTTCATAGTTTTATATTTCAAGCAATTTGATTTTACTCTTTGATCTAACAGAGCTGAAAACTTTTGAATTTTGGATTAGATAAATCAGGGGCACATGTAAGGATTTTCTAGGGGTAAAGTTTGAAATTTGGGTGCAAAGCAGGCCGAGGTGGCTCATGGCTGCCGGAAGAGAAAAAAGCTAACTATGTGGCACGGAAGGGGAAATAGTGGTGGCTCATAGCCCCCTGCCTTCCCCCGCTCACACAATCAGTTGTAAAGATATAGGGATAAAAAATTTGAGTTTGTGGCAAAGACTTAATTCCTTTATGTTCAATAGATTAAATTGCATGATCGAAGGTCTAAATATTGAAAGCTTGCTGTACTGTAAACTTGGCGTCATTAACCTTCTTGAATGTGTACTGCGTAATCTTGAAGTTTAAAAAGATTATTTTTCCAGAAGTTTTTTTCTTGAATAAACATATGAATTTGATATCTTTATGCAAATGAATATAAAACCTCTCTCCTTGCACTTTGGCCTTATTCATACTCCTAGAGGTGCTCAGAAATGGTTTTACTAAATTTTTAATCATACATTTAAAAAAAATTTTTGTTTTGTATTTATTATTATTTAATTTAAAGGACTGTCTCCTAATGAGATAAAAGGGACTGTATGTGTAATTTCATTTAATTACTTTGTAAAGATGGCAATGCCAGATTTACAACGGATACCCTGAAAGGCTTTGCATGATCCAGAATGAATTAGATATCAATATTTATAAATTTAAAAACTGATTATTTCATTCATAGGTTCTCCTCTTCAAAAGCGCATTTTTCTTCAGGAAAACATATAAGTTCATCATCAGAATTAAAAATTTTTAACCCTTGGTTGTACAGTCTCTCGAAATTACGCAATTACAGTCCTTTTAATGTGAAAAAATTTCTTCTACTGTCTCTTAAATCAACGAATTTTGAAACCGCTTATAAATGCAACTTACCCCCCAAGAAAATACAGCATTAGCTAGAGCTCTATTTCTGGCATCAAACATTTCAGCTATTAGAGATCCAGCAGCCGGTCTACAGCCGGATACTCTGAAATCAATTCTTATCAAACAATCAAATTGATTGATCTAGCGCAGTTCTGCGACCTAAAACTCTAAAGTCAATTCTAATCATTAAATCAATTTTATCCTGTCGGATTTTCTGAAATAAATTATAATCAATCAAAAAATCAATTAAATTTATTGATTAAACTTGATTGAAACTCATGCACCCCCGTTGTTCTTTTCTTTTAATTGAATTCTTTAAATAAATTCCCAATTACATAAAGAAAATTCCAGATTTGGGAAACTGCACATTTGGAAATTTCCACTTGGGGAAATTGCACATTTGGACAATTCCACTGGGGAAATTGCAAATTTGGGAAATTCTACTTGGGGAAATGTTTTTTATCTTATAATAATTTATTTTAATTAAATTTTACAATCATTTTAAATATTTCTATAATATCATATGGAAATATTTGGAGATTTCTTGTTTTTATTTTCTTCTTGTTTGTACATAATCATATTTCCGCTAATTTTGAAAAAACAAGATTTTTTATTTTGTGGATGTCCTTGAATCTTGCCACTTCATAAGAAGGCACTATTTTTTAAGGATCTTGCTTTTTTCCTGAACCCTGTAAATTGAACTAGCTGAGGATCTTGCATATTTTAACATTTATAATTATTTAACTCTGAGAGGAAAAAGATGTTAATATTTTTAAATCTCCATCCCAACAAACAAAACACAGGTTTTCAACGAGATTAGCAGTATGGAGAACTGGTTGATAATTCACGTGATTAATTCACGTACCTTCCTTGTGTTTTACTCGTGGTAAATCGACTTTTCACAATCTTGAAGATTCCTCATGTGTACAGCACGGGTAAAAAACGCGAAAATATTCTTTGAAAATTCTCGTTGTTATTTCACATGTTGTACACGTAGCAAAATAAACCAGTGCAAAATCTTGCATATTCCTATCGTGTTAAGCTCGAGTAATGCAATGCCAGAATTTTTAGATTTTAATTCTCGTAATTATCACGTGTACTATATTTGAGATAATTCTATAGTTCAATTCTCGAAGTTTTTTCACATGTTCTGCTCGTAGAAAAGATACCAGTGCAAGCTCTCGCATATTCCAAACGTGTTAATCATGAGTAATGGAATGCCAGAATTATCTAGATTTTAATTCTTGTAAATATCACGCGTAAAATATTTGAGATATCACGGGAAGAATTTCATCTTTCATTTTTAACAGAGTTGCAAAATCACAACACTTGGTGTCTCTGCTCATCTTTTAGAAACTAAAAGTTTATTGTAGTAAAATGAAATATTTCAACTGACATAAATTTTTCAGATTATAACAAGCATGAGCATAGTATAGAAAAGTTTCACATTGAATTTTGTTTTGTATTTCTCAACAACCCCTTTTTGGAATATCGATATTTTAGATATATACAGGAAGGGGAATTCATATAATTATGAATACATTAACACAATTGAACAATATTTAGACTTGAATTATCACTTTGTGATAAGAAAAGTTTAAAGTTAACATGTTCAAGATGTTTAATGTAAAAGATATAAACTAAAATGTTTAGTTTCTAAACATTTTGTAATAGGTATATATTTTTACACAGTATATTTTATAATATAGTTCTATATCAGAAATCAATTATGTATCCCCCCCCTTTCCCGGGGTTTTTAAAAATGTAATTAAAGTAGATGAGAGAAAAGTAATTTTCCCATGTAAAAATCCCGTGTTCATCTCGTGAAATAAACTCAAGTTTTCGCCGTGTAAAAACTCGGTCCTAGACCCGTGTTCAAATCGTCGACAATCACCTCGACAACACGTGAATTATCACGGGATAATGACGGGTCACTCGTGTGAAATAAACCAAATAATCTTGTGTTCTTCACGGGTTTTTGTTTGTTGGGATATTACTGAAGGAAAAGCTACTCTGCAAAACTTTGAAATTATTATCTTTGTTATTCTAATTTTTATTTCTGTCCAACTGATATTTTTGAAAATTTTCTTGTTGTCATATCCCCATTCATGTAGTGCGACTTAGGGAGTTTAGTTGCCGAAAAAACTTTTCATGAAATTTTCATCTTTATAAGGTTTTAAAGCAGACTAATAAATATGAAATGGTTTATTTTGGAGGGGTGCAATTGTATGGGCAGTAAGAGGGACAGGATTCTAAGGAGGGGGGGGGGAGGGTACTTAACCCACCCACTATATACATCCCTGAGATCAATGCTTGATATTTTTTTAAAAGTTTAATCTTATAAATTCCAATAATATCAAGGAAAGTATTTAAAATGCAATCAAGAGTGTCAGACAGGGGGTGGCAATGTGCATTTATTTATAAATAGAGTAAGAAAATATTAGAGAAATTGGATATAGCTACAAGTCTGTAGGAACTTGGTTATTTGGCTTTCAGAGATTTCACATAATTCAAAATTTTATTCTAAGCTAAAAAATTGAGTTTTGATTATGGTTTCCAGGAAAAAGGAAAAATCATTTCGTGAAAAAATAATGCAAAAATATCACAATAAAAATTAAGGGTAAATTTTGCGAAAAATTATGCAAAAATTTTGTAAAAAAAGTAAATATTATGTGTAAAAATGAAAAGTTTGAAGGAAAAAGTTGCATAAATTTATTTTAAAAAACTAAATTTTGTGAAAACAAGACTCATTTTCAAAGAGGGATATATCTGCTAGCCCAAGTGATGGATTAACACAAAATATAAATTTAGATTTAAGAAGGACTAGGAGATATCAGATCAGATCTTTCTTCTTAAAACACAAAATAAAATATACTACTGGAAGAACCAAAATAATTCAGAAAACTAAAAAAGATGGCTTTTTGTCAAATGTTGACCAATCAGAGCAGAGAAGTCCTTCATAGCAATAATTTTTTTCAGCTATAAAACTCATGGTTTTTACAAAATACTAGCATTTCAAGGAAAATATTTTTGCATTTTGCATTTTCACAAAACATGTTTTAAGAAATTTTGGTTTCGTTTTTGCTTGATTTATTTTTGCAAATAAGTGCAAAATTTTGCAGAAAAGTTTGTGAAGTGCAATAAAAAATGTACACATCTTTTAGCGAAATGTTTTGACACTAACAACGAAACACAGGGTTTCCTACAAACCATGAAACTTGAATGACGATCCCCCTGCAAGAAATAGATCAAACCCTGGAAATGGACACTCATTTAATGGAGATGACATTTATATTATTACTTAATCTTTTAATTTGTTGTAAACATTCATTTACCTTAAGATTATAAAGTATAATTTCTGTTCACCATATAAAATTGAACTATTATTTATATATTTCATAATTGTTCCTTATTGCACTTTAGATATTTTAGACTTTAAATAAAGTTAGGCCTCAACTAAAATGAATAATTACACATTATTTCAAACACTATATATTTACAAGTTAAACATCATAAAAATTTTTACTAAGTATAAACTTATATCAAGATAGAACACAACTTATATCAAACATCTGCCTCCAATTGAGAATGTAATGTTCTTAACATCTCCAATTCCTCCTTGATGACGATTAAATATTTCTTAACACAACACGTCGTAATTCTGCCTCACCTCCGGTGTAGGAAAACCTTTGATCAAGCTTGGCATCTGAAGCTCACCTTGTTCCGCCGTATCTCAACCCCAGCTTGTTTTTTTCTTTACACTGCTTGGCTTGCGGTTAATTCTATCTATAACTTATGTAACTGTAAATCCCCAGAGCTCCAGCTCTAACTTGGGTATGTTTCACTTGAATATTTACCTTTGTTCTATGTACAATTTTACAGTAATCAACCATGCCCTGAGCTGAAAACTTTTTAATGGGATATCCTTAATCCTGATTGGATAATTAATCTGGAGATTAAAAATGAGAGGAGAACAAGCAATATTTAATCTAGAGATTAAGAAAAAG